ATGGGGAGTCACACTGAGAACGGGGTGCTATGGGGAGTCACACTGAGAACGGGGTGCTATGGGGAGTCACACTGAGAACGGGGTGCTATGGGGAGGGCTGTCACAGTAACTTAGACACAAACCATCAGTCCGTCCCCTGTACTACTTCACAGTTTGGAAGAAACTAATTCTAAGTCTTGTGGGGTTTTGTCTGTTTGTTTTTTAAAGATTTATTTATTTTATGTATATGAGTGCTCTATCTGCATGTACTACTTTATGCCAGAAGAGGGCATCAGATCCCACTATAGATGGTTGTGAGCCACCATGTGGGTGCTGGGAATTGAACTCAGGACCTCTGGAGAAGCAGCCAGTGCTCTTAATCACTGAGCCATCTCTCCAGCACCTTGTTTTGTTTTTAATATAATGTTTTTCTCTCAATGTTTTAATTTTCAAATTTATTTTATGTGTGCAGGTGTTTGGGGGCCTATATGTTTCTGCACTATGTATGTGTCTGGAACCCTCAGAGGCCAGAAGAGGAAACTGGATCCCTGGAACTGGAGTTACAGATAGTTGTGAACTGCTATGTGGGTGCTGGGATTTGAACCTTCATTCTCTGGAAGAGCATTCAGTGCTCTTAAGCGCTGAGCTATTGTTCCAGCCCCTCAGTTTTTTGTTTTTGTTTTTTAAATCACGCTTTACAGGGTACTTGGGATATGAGAGTGCAGCCAGCTGCCTCTGAAGTCTGGAGCGAAGGAGCAGGGTTAAGTTAGCGGCAACTGTGGGGCCCAGGGAAGCCGTCTCCACATGGAACGACACAGCTCGGAGGAGTCCCGGGACTCGGGCAGCACTGCTACAAAAGGAAATGCGCCCTTGCAGACGGGGCAGACACCTGCCACAGCAGAGAGCAGGTGTCACAGTGGGACCTGGAGCACCGGGAACGGCCAACTGCTCCTCCCCCAACCCTGGAAGAGACCTGCCATGAGATTCTGCCAGGGGAAAACAAATGGCTTGGACACTTTTTCCCTGTATTGTCCTTTCCAGGAATTACATAACTGCTCTCATTTAGATAAACATGTCCACCCAGACGGGTTGGGTTTTCAAGAGGACCCAATGGGCAGGGCCCGCCCATGGCAGTCAGGCAGCAGATGGAGCCCCCAGCCCCATCAGGGCAGATGGATCCACTGAGCTCAGTAGATCGCGCTTCATGTTCTCTTATGCTCATGATCAAGTGCCCGTGGTCAGTGCCCATCCTGAGAACAGGAAGCAGGAGGCCCAGGCACAGCCTACTGTTCCCCTCTGACTCATTTTTGCTATGGTTGTTTTGATTCATGATGAGAAGTGCAGCGTAACTGTGTCATGGGGACTGGAGCCGTCTGACAGCTGACGGGGTAGGAACATGGCCACTTGACGGGCTCACTCAGCACCAGAGCAGGTAAGCTGTACAGGAAAGCAGAGGACTCAGGGAGACTCTGCAAAGCCCCTGCTGGAGAAATCAGATCCAGAGCAAAGAGGGTCGCATCTATCCAGACATGCAAGGTGGCCAGAACAGGCTGATGACCTAGGAAGCCCCAAGACAACACTGCTTTGCAGTCCAGCAACAAGATGTGTCACAGGAACAGCAGAGACAATTCATCTATGTTATATGCTATGTCCCAAACCACAGAGACTCAACAGGTAACCTGTTACAGGACGGGTAGGAAAATAATTATCTGAACAGTAGAGATGGGAGGGGGCAGTGTTACAATCTCAGAGCTTATGGCCTGTCCATGTGTACCCAGCCCTGGCTCGGCCACTTTCCAGTTAAACGACCCCAACAACCTCAGTGCCATGGCCATTGAGATCATGCAATGAGATAACACAGCCAAAGGGGTAGCGAAGGGCTGGACACAGGGGAGTGACACACAACAGCTCTCACAATGATTCCTAGAGAAAAATGGCCCTTGAGAGATGGAGGTAAGAGGATCGGGGTTCCAGACCATTCTTGGCTACACAGTGATTTCAAGGCCATCCTAAAATATATGAAACCATGTCTCAGAGAAAATGAGAGACCTGGGGAAAGAAAGAACACCATTTTTAACCACACGAGCACCCACTCTGCCTAAATGACATGGTGGCAGTGCCCCCCAACCCTTTGTACCACCAATCCTTTTCCTAGATGACAATCTTGCCAAAAGGGACCAGCTGTAGGAGCTGTGCACAGGAGCATGCTTTCCCTCCTGGGACAGCCACCACATACAGACACATGGCGGCTTGTAGCAAGGCGGAAGAAGAGGATGGGGAAAGGAGAGGATTACACAGGGGAAGAGAAGAGAGAGAGAAAGAGAAGAGCAAGGTCTCTCACACTGGGGAAAGCCAGGGAAGCAGCTTAAAATACTCGCTCCAAACCACGGTCAAAGAGTTATGAGATATACAAACATACATATATGAATATTTGTATATACCCTTCTTTATATATATGTATATTTATATATATTCTTATTCCATCAAATTAGAATGTCACTGATTATAAGGCATTACTGTGAATATTACTTTATGTATTACTAAGAATATTACTGCAATTAAAAACATTACAATGCTTTATCATCAATTTCAGAGACATTAAAATGTGGAAAGATAAAACACGTCCTAGATTAAGAAAATGCAGTAAGTTCAAAAGCAGAAAGATATCGTGATTGACTTAAAAATTCAAAATCTAAAATTTAATTATTTGGGAAGATCAACAGACAAACTTTAACAGGGTGGACTTGAGAAAAGAAGAGACGAGAAG